GTTCAACTTCCTCTTTCCCTTTGCCCGGCTAGCTCAATCGGTAGAGCGTGAGACTCTTAATCTCAAGGCTGCGGGTTCGAGCCCCGCGTTGGGCTTGAGGAGTTGTTTCTTTTTTTCTTTTCTATCATCAGGTCAAATTCTTTTAGTTTGTGGACGGATTGTTTGCCGGTTCCGCTGTATAGGGTGGATAGTAGAATGCCTAGTCTGATAAGAGAGTCACGTGCCACAGGCATATCTTCTGCAGTTTACAGACGAAACACCTTGATTCGCCACGCTCGGCATCACGCCGAAGAAATCTGCAACCCTGCCTCATGGCCCAAACTGCATCAATCCAGCAACATATCCTTTGTCACGCGTAGTAAATAAAGTGCATCAGCATAGAGCATTACCAATCAACGTATACAACATTGACTCACCTCACATCAGCAAACGGCGTTCGGCCTCGGCCTTCGGACAAGGCTTATCCGACCACCAGAACCATAACATCCCAAACAGCCCTCTGAATCGCATAAATACCCATACACCCCGTAGAATCGTACCACGAATGTAGCACAGAGAAAGACAAAACATCCATCGCCCTACCTGAACCAAAAAGAGCAAGAATTGGGATTGATCATCATGCCCCCCTCCATCGGCCTCATAATCTGCAGCCAGCGCACTCCTCGCGCAGGCCCCCAGATCGGCACATTCATCCACAACGCCATCCGTGAATCCTACCCCGCTGAAAAAGCCACCATTACGACCATCGACCTGGCAGAATGGAATCTTCCACTCTACAACGAGTCAGGGATGCCATCGCGCATCAGCTCAGCAGATGAGTACGAGCACGAGCACACCAAGGCCTGGTCACGGGAGATATCGCGCCACGAGGCGTTTATTTTCGTCACACCGCAGTATAACTGGGGGTATCCGGCGAGTGTGAAGAATGCGATTGATTACTTGTTTCATGAGTGGAAGGGGAAGCCGGCGTTGGTGGTGAGTTATGGGGGGCATGGGGGTGGGAAGGCGGCGGAGCAGCTGAGGCAGGTGTTGCAGGGGTTGAGGATGAGGCCGTTGGAGAGGATGATTGGGTTGAAGTTTCCGGAGATGAAGGAGGTGGAGAGGGCGGCTAGAGGGGAGGATTTGGGATTGGATGGGGAAGGGGGGTATTGGGTTGGGGAGAGGGAGGGGATTCAGGCTGCTTTTGGGGAGTTGATTGCTGCGCTGGAGGGGGAGAAGGAATAGATGGGGTGTTTTGTGTTTATCCTGAGGCTGGAATAGAAGACTGGCGCAAGAAGATACTGTCACAAGTTCATGATACTACCTGGGTGTTGCCATGTGATGCCAACCCGGCCATATACCTGAAGTAGATGATCAGATGCACATTAATGTTGTACAGACAACCCCATATCTACCCCGTAATAATGGTAAAAACCCGCAACCACATTAAGATTCATGATCACCCAGAGAAATTAGATAATTGTGTCAAAGTTGAAGTCAGGTGAAGGTGTCTTGTCAAATAGTGTCCACAAACAGATAGATGCAGGAACTGCGCACCCCTGCGTACTCTAACCCATGGACATCTCATGAGTGAAGCATATGATTCCCTGTTTGTCATGAGGACGCCGGGAGGTATCATCACATACTATCCAACTGGACTATTGTCCAAATTGGTGTATAAGTAAGCGTAGTAAGAGCCTTACAGTGGTGTAGTACACCCCCCCCAGCCACTATACGCTTGAGATGACCAATTTGACACACTAGCCAGTCATCGACACATCCACTTAAAAAACCTACTGTTATATGATCAACCGTGTCTGATGGTCCACCTCTCTATTTTACTCTGCTCCCTCGTGGCCCTACTACCAGCGGCTGCCCCTCTCGAGACCATAACCTGCGACATCTGCATCCTCGGAGGCGGAAGCTCAGGAACATACAGCGCCATCCAACTAAAAGATGCAGGGAAGCACGTGGTAGTAATAGAGCCCAACAACCGGCTCGGAGGACACGCAGAGACACTATACTTACCAGATGGCAACTACGTCGACTACGGCGTCGAAGGTGTCTTCAACAACGAGCTCTCCCGCAACTATTTCCGCCGACTAGGGGTAGACTGGAAGCCACTGCTCCCACTGAACAAACGAACCGACTTCGTTGACTTCTCAACTGGCGAACGTGTCGACCCGCCAGCAGGAACCTTACAAGCCCTGGTATCAACATTCCTTTACCGCTCATCCATAAAGCACTGGACGTTCCTCACAAGAGGGGTATACGACCTTCCCGACCCCGTACCAGAAGACCTCCTCCGTCCATTTCGCGAATTTGTCGAGGAACATTCCCTCGAAGCTGCCCTGCATGTGGTGTTTCTTTTCTCCCAGAATGTAGGGAACCTTCTCGACATGCCCACTCTCTATGCGATCCAAAACTTCGGAGTCCCGCACGTTGACGCTCTCGTCCATGGATACATCACACCGAAAAACGGCATGTATGAACTGTACAGACAAGCGACAGAAATACTCGGTTCGGACGTGCTGTTTCAGACAAACGTGGTTGCAACAAACCGGTCCGATTCCGGAGTGGAAGTAACAGTTCAGCATGCGAACGGGACTCGAAAACTCATCAAAGCCAGAAACCTGCTTATAACCTTC